TAAGGCGAGCTGGATGTTAGACGGATATTCGAGTGCAACGTGGAACGCCATCCCGTCCCACTCCTCGCCTAGGACTCAGCGACTCTATCTTGGCGGTAATCTGGGCCGCGACGTGTCCTTAAGACGAAATACTACTTCAACTTCCCGCCACCCGGACTTGCAAGCCCGAACCTGAGCCCGAACAGAGACGACGCGAAAACCAAACCAGCTTCAGACCGCAAAGGCACCCGTCTGACATCTCCACCCTCCGAGAACTCGTTTCGAGCGTCCACGGGGCGAAACGGACCCAAGGAGGTTTCGTCACGAGAACAGGAAAGGAAGAGGATGGGAGGGGGATGACAGGTAGCAGCCAGGGTAGATGGGACTTGATGGGGGGGGGGGGGTGGAAGGTGTTGAAAGTCGGAAATAGAGGAGAATCTAAAAGCAAAGGCGATGACCTTGGGCATGGACGAGGTTCGAGTACCGTTTGCTTCGAACGGGAGAAGGAGTGGGAGTGGGAGTCTACTGCAGAAGGCCCAACGAGCTCGAAGACGCAGCAGAAGGAAGTGGCTCGTACGTTATTGGGTGCTAGGGCTGTGTCGACGAGTAGCTGGAGGGTGTCACGCGTACGGTACGCGTGATCGCGGGCATCTAGAGTGTGTGTATGCACCAGGAGGGTTAGAACGTCGAAGACAAGAGCGGAGAAAGAGGAACAACAAGGGAGGGGTTGCAATCGAGGGCGAGTGGGGTGTAGGAGAAAACGAGAGACCGAAGGATGGGACCGGATGGAGGGACGTGAAGTAGATTGGCGAGGGGTGTATTGTATGTGACGGAGCGAAGATGCGATGGGGTGAATAGCGATGTGGAAAGATGGCGTGAGGAATGGGGAGACTTAAGGGAGGAGGTATGAGTAATCGCCGATGGGCAGGGAGGGGGTGAAGGACAAGAGCGGAAGGGGATAGAGGGACATATATGATATAGTATTAGTAGGTTGGCAAGGGGTGTGCGAAGGAGAGAGGGGGATTCGGATTGGGAGGGAAGACATCGCATCGGGAAGAAAGGAGGGCGAAGGGGTTGGAACACGAAAGAACAAGAGGGAATACTCATCTGGTCCTGACGGAACGAGCCCAGTCATGTTATTCACCACCACCTGCAAACCAACCGCGCGCCCTTCTCGTTCTGGTGTCCTTTCCGTGTCGTTCGCCAGCGGTGCGCCGATCCAACGAGAGGCCCTGGCGAAAGTACTCGGGTTACGGGACCATCAGGTGTACGAGCTAGTGCATGAGGGATCGAGGAGGTCATGGTCGAAGTAACTCGAGGTCCAACTTGAAAGCGGTATGGGTAGACGAGATGTCGGACTTGAAGGAGGTCGAAGTGGGAAGCTGGCGATTGCGAGCGAGTACCGGTTCATGATGTCGATGGTCGATCAATCCATGAAGGAGGGTCGAGGATGGCGATGACGTTGATAGAGCCGAGGTGGCACGTCAAAGGGGTCGAAGCAAGCTGCAGTCATTGTCGTCGAACGAGAGGTGCTGGTGAGAGCCGGCACCGACGCGGGCGGGAACGAGAACATTATGTCAGCATCTGCGCAGCCTGCCCTAAACTATTTACTGCCCCCTTTGATCTCGACGAACCCGCGTGGCTCTCTTTCGACCTTCCCTCTTGCTCCCGTCATCTACTTCCCCCTTTCGATCCTTCCTCCCCCTTCCCTCCATATGACGCCCAACATTCGCACCAGCGCCGACTCAGCCTCCTCCTCCTCACAGCTTGCATGTGGACTCACAGCGGCATATCTGCCTGCTTCATGCGCCGAGAGGCTCGCAATCGGGTTGTAACGTATCGGCGCTGGACATGTACATGTGTCTTCCCCTTCCCGATCCTCGTCATGCATTACGATCCCCTCCCATCCAGTCTCTTCACCCACTCCCGCTCCCCCACTCCTTCCACGTCTTCCCGCTTCCCCTCGTTCGATGTCCACACCAGCGCCGATGCTCGATTCCCTTATCCTCCCAGCATGCACGTGGATGATAGCGGTATCCCCTCCGTCTCATTCACGCACTGAGAGGTTCTATTTCAGAATTTGGGGTCGGCGCTGGGCACATGGGCGTGTCTTCGTCATATCGTCCTTCGGACTCATGTTGCCCATCATGACCCTCTCCTATCCACTCGCTCTTCCCACCATCTCAAGTTACACCCATACGACATCCACCCCATCCCCAGCGCCGACGCTCACTCCCCTCTTCCTCCCAGATAAACGTGGATGTTCCGACATCTATCATCCTCGTGCTGGGAGGTAGTGATCGGAAATGATCGACCCGGCACTGGGCTTCAGGATGAGTATCGTGTGTCCTCGTTCCAGGATTCAGCCTCGGTTTCGGGCCATAATGTTTTCATCTAACCTCCACTTACCGTTCTTCGCTCGTTCGAAGCTTGACCCTGCTGTGCTTTGTGGTACACCTCCTTCGTTTCTTGCCTTTCTCGCACTTCTCGTCGTCCGCCGATCTTCGCAGCATATACTATCACTTTCTGCAGTGCCTATTTTCCAGGCCCGTCGACCTTCGTACGCCCGTTCAGCTATCAAGAATCCCCGTACCAGCTGAGTATACGTCGGTACAACTATCCTTTTCCACTGACTTGCCCTTGTTCGCCTCGTCGGAGCATCATATGGATAGGGACATAAACTCGACACGCAACGCCATTCAACGATTCAAGCTCGATGCGGTGATGGATAAGGCGCGCTTTACCCCATCTCAAGCCCTCGGTTCGTAAATATGGGTTACACCGAGCCAATTTTGATCAAGTACGACGGGGAATGGCCTAGCTATAGCCAACTCACGAATATCAGGCACTGTAAGTCCTAGAACACCTTTGAATTTCCTCCGATTACTACTTATCACCCCTCGATAGTAGGATATGTAAGCGTCGTTCGCGCCCTTTGCGTCGATTCTGCCCAATACATGCACCGTTATAGGCGCGAAGGTGTGCTCGAGGAACGGTTCCAGACCAAATTATCGGATTCTACTCTTGGCCCGTACGTTTTTACATTTTTCGCCGACTGCCACCACACCCCAAACTACGAACTCAGCCTCAGAACGTCAACTTCCTCAAGGCCCAGGCCCAGGATTATCCGAGTGTGCGAGGGCCAGGATCACGATATGGGCGGTTTAAACGAGTAAGCTTAAGTGCGGTGGAGGTGGGGCAGAGAAGGTCGAACGAGCTTTGGGATGATGGTGGGCAGCCCACGGCAAGGGGCGGAAGGTCTGGCATTGCGGGGCGAGGTCGAGGTACAACGCTGTACGTACGTATGATTGCGAGAACCTGCGTGGACATGTGCGTCGGAAAGCGTTGATGTTGAAGACTCGAGGCAGAGAAGGGAAAGAGGGGGCGTAGAGTATCGGGTACATGAAGGAAGGGACTCAAATATCGGAAGAGCGAGGTGCGAGGACGTTATGGTGTGAATAATGGAGATGTGGAGGGGAGGGAAAACGAAATAACAAGATCTGGTGGAAGGCTCACCTGGTCTCGAGCTCGCGGGAACATCCTTCACTTGCTCAACCGTCCGCGTCAACGTCTAGCCAACCGCCTATCTTGTGTCTTTCCTTGGTTCTGCTGGAAGCATCTACGAGAGTCCAAATTTTATGAACGAATGGATGAACGGGCGAGATTGCGAGGACGAGAAGTGAGACGGCGAGCCCGAGTCTGGATAGCTGGCGGGCACCGAATAGAGAAGGGCCCAGGAGATCGCAGCCGAAGCTATGGCTCTGAGGGCCTCATGGACGGAAAATGGGGGACAGTCAAGTCAGGTCAGGATTGGAGAGGATGGAGGTCGTTTGAGCGGAACGAGAGCCTATGGCAAAAGGTGACGTCAGCGCGGCCGGCCCTAATGAAATGCATTACAGGAGCCTCGTTCTCGGCCGTCTTGGCTCTTCTTTTCCCATCATCGCTGCTGCTGCACCCAACGCGGGTTCCAGCTGGCGGGCTCTCCAATGCTCGAACCAGGGCTCACGCGCACGCCGCCACGCCAGCGGCCAGTCGAATCACCTTCGACATCCCTCGGTCTTATGTCCCCAGTGACTTTCGGCCCATCGATCTTGACCCATATCTACTATCTGATTTCTACGACTCTGCGTCGTCCTCCTTCATCCTCCCGCCCCCATCATGATCTATGAGTTATCCCGGCGCATCGAAGCCCTCTCGTTCCCCTCTCCCACCCTCCGAGTCCTTCCTCGCTCTTCCCGCCATCTCACGTTCCACGTCTGCACCAGCACCCCAGCGCCGGCTCTCACTTCCTCTTCCTCCCAGCTAAACGTTGATGCACCCTATACAGATGTATCTCATCTATCTGACACATGCACTGAGAGGTAATCAGGTTACAGGAAGCTCTACGCCGGCGCTGGGCTCGTGCCTGCGTTTTCGTGACATCGTGTTTTCCCGCTCCCGCCTATATTCCTCTCCTGCCGTCTGACGTCGCACGTCCAAATCCGCGCCAGCGTCGACGTTCGCATCCATTCTCCTCCCGGCTCAACGTGGATTCACTATCTGCTCCGTCTCATTCCTGTGCTGAGAAGTGCTGAGTGGGAAAAGAATACGTCGGCGCTAGAAACGCACACCTCGTCCTTTGGGTATCTACCCCCCCTTCGCCCTCCTTCTCGATCCTTCCCATTGTCGCACACTCCACGTCCGCACCAACGTCGATCGGCGATACTGAAACCCATTCTCCTCCCAGCGTTCACGTGGATTCGCCATCTCCGTCTCATTCATGCGTGCTGTCTGATATCCCGCGTAGATCATGTCTGCACCAGCGCCAATGTTGAAACCCCTTGTCCTCCCAGCTACACGTGGATGATAACGGTATCTCCTTCCCTGCCCTTCCTGCTGTCTGACGTCCAACGTCCGCACCAGCGCTGACGCCTTGGTCCGTCTTCCTCCCGGCGTGTACGTGGATCTGTAGACGTTTCTCCTCCGTCCGATTCACGCGCTAAGAGGTATACATTATCACCATAAGGTATCGCCGCTGGTCTCATGTGTGCGTTTTCGTCGCATCGTCCTTCGGGCTCGTCTTCTTCTCCCTCCTCATCATGATATACCCCCTTTCGTTCTCCTTCCTCCACTCCCACTCTCCCTCCCGCCATCTGACGCACTACATCCGCACCAGCACTGACACTTGATTGCTTTATCCTCCCAGCCAGGCGTGGACCTACGGGTGCTCTCCCTCCGTCTAGATGTCGGTGAAAGGCATCTTTTTGCCAGGGCTGGGCTCGTGTGTGTCTTCGTGGCTGCCGTGCTCTTGAATTGGAGGTTTCAGCTTACGCCCAGGGTGCCTTCGAAGCTCCTCTCTCTTCTTACGGTCTATTCCCTCGTACTAACGAGTCTCCTGTCTGTATGTCTCTCTTTGAAACACTTGTTCGCACCCAATCAGCAGAGGAATTGGCCCATCGTGATACATGTATGTTTCTACTCACTTTGCCGTTCTTCGCTCGATACTAACTCGATCCTACTCTAGCTTGACCCTCGTGTGCGTCAGGCTATCAAGGTTGCTACATTACATTCTCATATACATCGGTACGTCCGTTGTTTCTCATCTTCTTCACCGCCCCTAACACACCCTTTCACCTCAAATCTGCGCTACGTTATTGAATGCACTCCAGCTCTATTATCTCGTCAACGACTCGCAGCACATACTCCACGAAACGGCTCCGGATCAGGATGGAGTTGGTAAGGGTCGTCTTCGTTGAACGGAACGAAAGTCTCATGGTGAGAGGTGACGTCAGTGCGACCGGCCCTAATGCATCAGAAGTCGATAGCCTCGGGCTCGAAGCTTTCTTCTTTTTCCTCCCGACTTCATCATTCAGCGCCCTGGCGGGCTCTCCAACGCTCGAATAAGGCCCAAGGGACGGCTCTGATCCCTAGGATTAGTGGATTAGTACGTCCTCGGATGCTTCTGACTGGGACCACTAGCTCGTGTGAGTCTTTCGTCCAACGCCCTCGACCCATGTCTACTATCTGATTCCCACTATCTGATCCCTAGGGCATGCTACGACTTTCTATCGTCTTCCTCCTTATCATTGTCGCGATCTATCTATCCCGCATCGCTTTCCTTCCTCCACCGCACCCTCCGAGCCGTTCCCGCTGCAACATGTTCCACGTCCGCACCGGCGCCGACGCTCACTTCCCTCTCTCTTCTTCCCAGCGTGCACAAGGCTTTACAGGCACGTCTCCTCTGTCTGATCCGTGTGCTGAGATCTGAGAGGTCAGCTGAGGGAAATTCTTGTGTCGGCGCTGGGTCCGTGCGTGTGTTTTCGTGCTATCGATCGTCCTTCGGGCTCGTATCTTCTTTCCGCTCCTCATTATGATCTACCCCCCCTTCGCTCTCCTTCCCTCCACCCATGCCCTTCGCACTGCCCCACGTTCGACGTCCGATCAGCGCCGACGCTCAAAGCCCTCTTCCTCCCAGCCAGGCGTGGACCTACGGATGCGCTCCTCCGTCTAGTTCGCGCGCTGAGATATCAGTGTAGGCAGCCTTTGGTCGGCGCTGGGCCTGTGCGCGTCTATCGTGATGCGTGCTTTCGAATTGGAGGTTTCGACTTATGTACGTCTGAGGTGCCTTCGAAGCTACTCTCCTCCTATGGTATATTTCCTCATCCTCCTATCGAGTTTCCTGTCTGTATGTGTGTATCTTGGTCTTTGAAACGCCCATTCGCACCCAATCAGCGAAATTGGCCTACTGCGATACATGTATGCGCGGGCTCTACTGTTCTTTGCTCGATCGATACCAACTCGATCCGACCCAGCTTGACCCAGCATGCCCCCTTATCCTCGTCCTCCGCTGATCTTCGCCGCGCCATTCACTATTTGTATTACCGATCTTCTGTGTCCGGACCTTCGTATGATTCAGCTATCATACACAGCCGTACGTCCATGGTTTCTGATACTTTTCACGACCACTAACACACCCTTTTGCCTCAGACTTTTGCTATAATTTCAGAACGCACTCCGGGTATATCGTCGAGTCAACGACTCGCGGCGCATACTCCATGAGAAGGCTCTGAATCACCTACACGATGCACGCCAAGTCTTGCGATATTTCATTTGCCTTCCTCCGTGTTCTTTCTGGTCGTTTTAGGATTTTATCGCATCGCATCGCCAGCTCTACGGTGTTCCAAGCTCGAGTCGCCGTCAATTAACTAATCTCTAATCTCTGCGATTGTATGCGCTCGAGGCTCCGAGTTAGAAAGCGATTTATAAAGGCTCTTCGTAAGTAATCAAATATTTCTCTCTTTCTCTCGAGCCGTGCTGATCACGACGTGTCCGAGCACTTTCACTCACACCTTGATCGCGAACGTCCGAGCGTATAACCGCCTACGCAATTGACGTATACGCGCCGATTTCCTGCCACAATCCAAATTTCAACGTGAGCAAATCCTTCCTCTTCACGTTCGTCTCTCAACCGATTATTCGCAGGGCGCAGGGCTTGGGCCTGAATCGGAAAGGACGGCTGGAGCAAAGGTCATTTTGGTTAAACGAACAAGGCTCGCGGTGGTGAGAGGTGACATCAGTGCGATCTAGACCGGCCCTAATGAAGTGCGTTCTTGGTCGCTCTCTTCTTATCCCCACTCTCCTTTGCCCACATCTACTGCGACTCTGCGTCGTCCTCCCGCTCCCCGCTCCCCGAATTGACCCGCTCCGCTCTCCTCACCCCACCTTGACACGTCCTACCCCACTTCACTCTCCTTCCTCGCCCATCCTGCCGCCCGATGCCCCACGTCCGTCAGCACCAGCGCCGACGCTCACTTCCCTGTTCCTCCCAGCGTGCACATGGATGTACAGATGCGTCTCCTCCGTCTAATCCGTGCGCTGAGATTGTAGCCCAGGTTACCGAGCTCGTGCACTGGGCATGTACGTGCGTCTTGTTGGTATTGCGCTTCAGGCACATGCCTTCATCTTCCCGCTCCTCAACATGACCCACCCCACTTCACCCTTTTCCCCTCCGTTCCTGCTGCCCCACGTTCCACATCAGCACCAGCACCGACGCTGAAAGACCTCTTCCTCCCAGCGTGCACATGGATTTACAGGTGTCTCCTCCGTCTGATCCGTGCGCTGAGATGTCAGTGTAGGCATTTTTTGGTCGGCGCTGGGCTCGTGCGCGTCTTCGTGCTTCAGAATTGGAGGTATCAGCTTACGCCTGAGGTGCCTTCGGAGCTGCTTTCCTCTTCCTACTGTCTATCCTCCTTCCTCCTTCCGAGTCTCCTCTTGCCCGTGTCCAGAAAATCTCTGAATTGGAAACTACGGCGCCAGACTACGGCGATCACTACGGCGGCAACTCCCGCTGAACGGTAACGTGACCCGTTGGAGGCTCACATCGATGAGCCGGACTCCCGTAGCGTAGTCCTAAGACGCCCGTACCACCCCAGAAATAAGAAGGACATCTTGCAGCTACAACCNNNNAATCGAGGAGAAGTTCCGACAAAGCACCGGAAAATCCACTCGTCTCATCGCCGTTTGTCTCAGCTTGGTAGCATGATTCCCTTCGATTGGACCAGCGCAATATCTACGACTAAAAAGTAAGTTTCTCCCTCCTCTGAGCGAAACACTAGTTAAACATAAACTGACCCTATAGTCGCGCTACTCATACGCCCACAACGTCGTTGTCCGCGGAGATAGAAAGGAGACCCCTGAGGCGAGGTCTAATGCCAAAGGTGAGTGAGTCTTCCATCTATACACGAGAACGCCGCTGACAGACCTTATTCTGGTCGCGCTGTGCATGCAGGGGCTGTATTGTACGAGTCCTGGTA